TTACTAAAGTTAAAAAAAAAAAAAAATTTCTTCTTTTTTTTATCTTTACGCGTTTTTCTTCCTGAATTTTTCGCTTTTCTTTACTTTTTCTCCTACATACTTTTTTTCTTTTTTCTTTGTGATATTTTAAATCGAAAGAAATTAAAGGTTTGAAAAGGTTTTTCTCTTTTAGGTTAATTTAAAACGTTCTAACCTTTTTTATTTTTCAAAAAAAAAAAAAATTTTTATTCATTCACTTCAAAGAATTAAATACGAAAAGAAAATAAAATTTAATAAATTAAATTACGACGTATTAAATATATATATATATATATATATATATATATATATATATATATAATTTCGTGCCCCGAAGAATGATTGACTGATTGATTGATTGATTTAATGACTCATTGATTAAATTAAAAAGAAAAAAATTCATATGATAAAAATTTCCATTTCATATTTTTTGTTTTCATATAATCTTTTTTTTTTCGAAAACCTTTTTCCCCTTTTTTCTCTCTCTCTCTCTCTAAAAAAAAAAAAAGGGAAATTATCATTATTAAATTGCGGTCAACGTATACAAAAAAAATTTAAAAATTTTTACCTAAAAATAATAATAATAATATTATTATTAATAAATATCTATTCAACTATGATGATGGATGCTCGAGGGATGGCGATGTAAAAGTTTATTAATCCACTTCAATTAGTTATCAAGGGTTGAATTATCTAAAGGAATACATAATTATCAGAGAAAGCTAACGGAGGGGAGGAGGGGAAGAGGGGAGAGGAGGAGGAAAGAGGAAGGGGAGAGGGAAAGGGGGAAGAGGAAAAACTAATTTTAATTTTATATTAAACTTTTTAATTAATTTTTTAATTATTTATCATCACCATCATCATCATCATCATCGAATTTAGAAAAGAAACGTTTTATAAGTTTTGAAATATTTTCATAATCGCGATTAATACAGGTGGAAAAATAATAATAATAATAATAATAATAATAATAATAATAATAATAGTTTTACTCACCCGTCGATGAGAGGGACTTCCCTGAGTATTTTTTTGACCAATAAAAGTCTTTCCTCGTGAGTACCTGGACGGCCTGAACTAAGGTATAAAGGAAATCCGATTCCTAATCCGAGCGACGTACATATAAGGCTAACGAATATTCCTATCAGACATCCTCGTTTTAATAATTTTTTCGACGAACCTGATAATGATAACGGAAATAAATAAATAAACACGTGTGATAAAATTATCAAAGGGATGATTACGTGAGGAGAGAGGTGAGAATAGAAGGGAGGGAGTGGGTAGAGCGGGGCCGGGGGGAAGAGAGGAAAATAAATGAATAAACGTAAAACAAAGGTTAAAAAATTTTTTTTTTTTTTACCGTGGAAAAATTTTTTCGTTTTGATTTTCCAAGTGGAAATTTTCGTGTAAATTGTCAAAAGACGTAAAAAAAAAAAAAAAATTTTTTATTAGTAATAATAATGATGATGATGATAATAATGATGCTACGCACCTTTTGTCGCGTCTAAATTATCTTCTTTGCTTGAGCAACTATTCGTGTCGTGATGATTGGTTGAATGCGTTCTATTGCTCCCCAATATTCTACCGTTGCATCGTATCGAACCGTTTTGACCTCTGTAAAATCCTTGATTCGGTACCGTCGTCGTACCAACGGCAGGTGCTATATCTGGCAAATCGGATATGCATGTTGTGGGCTTCAAAAACAAAAAAAAAATAATAATAATAATAATTATAACGTGAAAAAGCTCGTCGTTGCGAATTTTTTTCTTCCTTCTTTTTTAATAAAAATTAAATATTAAAAAAAATCATCATCATCGTGATTATTATGTACATTAATTATTATTATTATTATTATTATTATTAATGTATGTATTTATTTACGAGTAATGAAAATTATTAATCAGAAGAATAATTAATTAATTAATTTTTCTTTTTTCTCTCTCTCCCCACGGATAAAAAAAAAAAAATGAAAAATTTAATTAATATTTATATACGGATATATATATTTATTATTATTATCATTATTATTATTATTATTAATTTTTTTCAATAATAATTTTCTGCTTCGTTTAATTATGTTTATTAATTAATTTTAATAATAAAATTTTTTTTTTGTGCGTATCACGTGCCATCGTTTAATTTAACAACAAATTATTTACCGTTAGAACAAAAAAAAAAATTAAATTTTTTTTCTTATGTATTTTCTATCTTTGTCTTTTAACACCTCCCTCCCTCTCTCTCTCTCACTCACTATTTAACGTCACATAATTCTTTCCGTTTATAGAAAAATTACCGACAGCAAAAAATTCAAATCCTTCACAAAAAAAATAAGAAAAGTTGAAAAAAAAAAAAAAAACTAAACAACCGCAAATTTAATTTTCCGACATTGGAAAAACTAATACTGACTAAGTAACTAACTAACTAACTGACAGTTTTAATAATTTTTTTTTTAAATGAAAATATTTAAAAAAAAAAAACAATCAATCAATCCATCATTTTCGACAAACAAACAACAACACATTCTTGACTTAACAATAACTTCATACCTTATAACAACCACGTCACGACAATTTCGACAACAACCAAACCAAAAACATTTAAATTAAAATCGTTCACGACAACAACAACGACAGCGTTTGTTTATTTTTTTTTTGCAAATAATTAAAAATTACTATTATTATTCGTTCGTAAATGACTGATTGATTGATTGTTTGAGTGTTAAAAACGAAAAGACGGTTTTTGAATATGTTGTTAAAAAAAAAAAAAAAAAAACTTTCTCGAACTAAATTGTTTTTTTTTTTGCAACAAAAGTGCGCATGCGTGTGTCGCGACGAATTGTTTTGTGTTCCTTTTTAAATATTTTCTTACCGACAGCCAGATGTCACGGATTGTTATTGAAAAAATTTGTACAAACAAAACAAACCGACACACAGGCACAAAACAAACACAAAATTTATTTAATTTATTAAAACTTTTTAAAAACTTTCATGAATGAATTTTGAATTATTATTTCATTTTTGTTTTAATAAATCAAACTGTGTAAAAAAAAAAAAAAACTTTAAATTATTATTATTATTATTTAAGACAGAAAACGAGTAAGTTTTCATTATTATTATTATTATTTGTTTTTTTTTTTATCCAGTAAATTTTCAGAAAATAAAATACGGAACGTCAGTTACATTCATACAGGTTTTCATTTTTACTTCTTTCCATCTTTTCTTTTCTCTCTCTCTCTCTCACACACACACACATTCGCGAGAATTTTCTTGTTTACGCCCCTTGTCTTATTAATGTTTACACCCTTTACTCTTTCTCCCCACCCCCCCTTCCCGAAACCATTTTAATTTTTAAATTCACCTCATTTCATAAACTTTAACGTAATGCTCGTACATATATCCACATATTCTTTTGTTTACGACAGATTTTAAAACGTAAAAAAAAAAATTTATTTTTTCTCCAGAATTTATTTTAGTTTTTTTTTTCATTCCTCCAGGATTATTTTTTTTTCTTTTCTCTCCAGAATTATTATTATTATTATTACTACTTTTTTTTTTAGAAAATTAATTTCGAAACGCAAAACCACAGCGGAACTAAAAAAAAAACGTAAAAAAAAACTTAATTAATTAATTAATATTTTCACCGCTTTTCTTTTACTTTTGCTTATACCGGTTCTTGATGTTGTTGTTCCGGTACTTGAATTTTTTTTTTTTTTTCTTCTTCTTCTTCCACGTTAAAAAAAAAAAAATAATAATAATTTGCACTAAAATTGTTATTTGTACTCGTGAAATTATTTTTTTTTCTTGCACACACATGAAAATAAACGAAAAATAATATTTTTCGTCTTCCTCCCCCTCCACTCCTTTTCCTCCCTTCACCGAAAACGTTTCTCGTACCGGAAGCGAATGGAAAAAAGCAGAAAACTCACTCATTGGAGCTTTTAAAAATATTAAAAACTTTAAATTTTAAAAAAGTTAAAAAAAAAAGAAATAAATTTATAAATGCGTAAATTTGTTACTCGAATTTTTTTTTTTTTTTGAATTTAAAATAATACGAATCGAAGAAGACGACGACAAAAGCAGACGACGACGTTAATAGGTAAATAAATTTTTTTTTTTCTCATTTATCGATTATTTTATCGATCGATAATTAAATTAAAAATAAATCCCTTCTTACTTATTTAATAAAAAGAAAATCTTTTTACGCATTTTACAACGATATTTTCTTCTGTAAGAATTTCCTTTAAATAACGTAACGGTAAATCGATATTATTATTATTATTATTATCACATTATCATTATTATCATCGTGGGAAAATATTAATTATTATTGAAACAATCCTTTTCAATTTTTTTTTTATCAATAATTACCGTAATAATAATAAAACAAAAAAAATCCCAGAAAATCGTTTATTGCATCTGAGCTCACTCAGAATAATAATAGAATCATTATTATTATTATTATTATTATCATTATCATTATTTTATCGTTAAAGTTTTTTTTTTTTTTGAGTAATAAAAATAAATAAAAAAAAAATTAAATGAAGTGAATAATATTAATTCGATCTGTTGCTTCTCCTTTTTCTTCTTTCCTCGTTATGAAAATTCGACATGTTGCTTTTGTTCATTTTTTTTAAATTTGTCTCGTAAAAAGAAAAAAATTTTTTTTTGCCTCCCCATCCCCCGTAAAATGATTATTTTTTTTTTATTTGCCGTGTCAGAAGATAAATCACTCAAAAAACTTTTCAAAAACGAATAAGTAAAACTTTTATAAATATTATTATTATTATACAGGAAACGGAACTGCGTTTTTTTTTTTTCGATTCCGATGCATTTAAAATAAGAAAATTTTCTTTTTTCCCCCCAGACATTTGAATGCAACGTTTTACGTTTTCCGGTCTGGAAAGTTATTTCCACGTTTATCAACAATCTACCTAATACTTATAAATGTAATTGAGATTTAAAACTTGTTCGCCGGAAACCATTTTATAAGATGTTTAAAACGAATCCGTTGATAAATTTTTATTTTGACGGTTGCAAATCGTGTCTCATTTGTTTTTGTTTTCATCGAATATTTTTTTTTTTATCACAAAAATTTTCTCTCTTTGAATAAAATTCTAGACCCACGTCAGACGACGACAGCAAACTTTTCCAAACGAAAAAAAAAAAAAAAAAAGAGGAAAAGGAAAATTTTTTTTATTTTTATTCGACGATTAATTGAAAACCCCCTCTCTCCGAACAAATGCACAAAATATTCATTTTGAAAATAAAAAAGTCGTGGCATTAGTTTAGGTCGAGCAATCAAATTATTAATAAATAATTATTAAGGGGCTTTTGCTGCGGGATAAATAAAATTTTATTCGATCCTTTCTTTAAACGAGTTGTAGTTTTTTTCGTACAAAAAAAACTAAAAACGTGTAAATTTTTTATTTTAGTGCCACGTTAAATAAATAATTGACCTTGAAATCGGGTAATAACGTCAATCGTTAAAGGGAAACGAACCGAAAAAAAATTGGAAAAATAAAATTTTATTAATAAATATTATTATTATTATTATTATTACACTCTTAAAAATGTTTTTTTTTAAAAAAAAAAAAATCTAAAACCACGTAATTCGATTTCTTAATAAAAAATAAAAAAATACGATGGCAATAACCACGTTGAAAAAAAAATATAATCATTGAATTTTTATTATGTGAAATATAAAGAATGAAAGAAAGAGAAAGAGAGTGAGAGAGAGAGAGAGAGAAGGAAAATAAGGAAAATTGACAAAACCAAAAAAACCATTAACTAATAATTTATGAATGTTTTTCGAAAATGGAAAATTTTCTATAAAAAAAAAAAAAAGAAAAACAAGAACCACCGACCTCCGGAAAGTGGAAGAAGAAAATTTTTCTTATTTTCAAAACTTTTAAAGTTTTAGTTAGAAGAAGCCTTTTTTCATTAACGTCAAACAATTTACAAAAAAAAAGAAAAAAAAAACAAAACCAAATTTATTTAAGCTTGCGGTAAATAACAACAAAAAACCGTTAAAAAAATTTTCCAGGTACGAACGAACGAACGAACGACCGAATTTTCCATCGTATCAAAACGTTTTTCCTTAATTTTCTTTTCCAGCTTTTCCGTGAAAATACCAGAAAAGAAAAATAAAATTCAATTTACTCGTCGTGTGACGATGATAATATTAAAACAGAAATTTTTTAAAACATTTTCTCTCTCTCTCGACAACACCTTTTTTTTTTTTTTGTTGATTTCTACTTCCACGACTCTTTTTTTTTTTTTTTGTTTTCTCGCATGAATTCATTTTCTATAAGATTTAAAAAATTTATTAAATTGAGTTTCTTGTAATTTACGAGAGAATAAGAAAAAATGCAAAAAAAAAAAAAGCAGAAGCGAATCCCGGAGAAAAAAAAAAACAATTTTTGTTTTCTTTAACCACGACGACAAACCATTTTATTTTTTTTTTTTTTACTTTCGTTCCCCCTAAATAAAAAAAAAAATACAATATCCACAAAAATGATAATGATGATGATAATAATAATAAATCAAGTTAAAACGATCCGAGAAAAATAATAACGACGACGATGATGACGATGATAATGAAAATAATTTTTTTTTATTTTCCGATTCGTTTAATTTTTTTTCTTTTTTTCGGTGGGGGTAGGGAGAGGAGGGAAGGCGGGAAGTCAGGGAAGGTGGGGAGCTGTTCTGGGGGGGGGGTCGTTACCGCTGATGAATACGATTAAATTTTTTTTAAAAAATAAATTAAAATAATTTATGTTTGAATAATTGCGTATTTAAAATAAATAAATTTTATTTTATTTTTCTTCCCCCCTTTCCCCTCTGAAAGTTTCCGCCATTTTTTTTTTTACGACATTTGAATAAAATTTTTTTTTTTTTTTGATGATTTTCAAACGATTTTGTCACGTTTTTTTTTTTTCAAAAAAATAAAATTTTCAAATCACGTAGTAAATTTTGTTAGCTACCAACCACACAGTGGAAGAAACGCTACGATATCATCTCCTTCCACTTTTTTTTTTTCTCTTCACCCCTTTCTATTTATTATTAGTCACCAACTCAATTCTGATTTATACGGTTTTTTTAAAATAAATTTTACCGAACGAAAAAGTAAATTTTTTTTTTTTTTGTATTCACGGTCACATTTAATTTTTTGGAATTTAATGCCACGTCCGCGAAAAATTCATCGTGAATTAATTACAAATGAGGAAAAATGTGTAAATGAATTATACGTCGGTTGAATATTTAATATATAAATATTATTATTATCATAATCAATGATAATAAATTAAATTTAAATTTAATTTTAATTAAAAAAAAAAAAGCAAAAAGTTTTTGAAAAATGGCGAAAACATATTTATTAATTTACTCTCGTGTGTAAATTTAAAGTTTTACGAAAACTTTATTAATCCGCGTTTAAAATAATAATTTACTCGCATGCAGTCTCATACACGCAACGCGCACGCACGCACACACGCACACGTGCGCGCGCCCGCTCAAAAAAACAAACAAACAAACAAACTAGAAGAA